CAATAATCTTACACCACAATTCTTTAATCCGTAGAACAGAGAACACAAATGCAACTCAAAAACCAACGAACAACGTGGAATCTTTTAGTAATTTAAGAAACCACACAAAAATGAAGAAAATTGAAAGAAATAAAACAAAGTAAATGGTTCTCTCCACCACAATAAAAACACAAATTGCCCTCAATGAAAGAACATAAGAGTGAGAGAAAGGAAAGAAGACACCTAAGAAGTCAAGGTGGATAGGCGATCTTATAAGCTTCCTTTCCCAAAGAGAGCTCTTATACTGTCTCTTCTTCCAAAGTGGGGCTCTCATGAAGTAGCTTTGGGCAGTGTCAATTTTTATTGAAATATTTAGTAGTGTCATCATCTTTTATTACAGGATCAAAGAAGGACCCTCGATAAGTAAAAGTATCGAATTGGCACGTAAACGTGATCTCATTTTTCACAACATCAAGAATCAAAGAATTAAGGAGTTGCCTCACTACCTTGTTTCCATATTTAATTGAGACCCTATACATACTCATGGATGGGCTAAAATCATGGGTGTCAACGAATGTCCATCCAATTCTCTTTTTATGCTTCTTCCAAACATGCAAAAGCATATTTTCTTGAATAAAATCAAGGTTAGAAGAAATTATAACCAATAGCTTTTCATTCCTCTCTAAATTGGCATATTTCAAATTGTTAGGAAGTGGTTTAAGCTCTAAGAAAGGAGGTTGTTCAATGGATGGCATGGTTGGGCCAGCCAGGGTGTCAAGAGCATCAACTGTATAAACAACTTCATCTACAACTCCATTAGTAGGAAAAATGTCAACCTGCAAGGCAGCCTCAATCTCAGCACAAACAGGAAAACAATTAGTGCCAGTACAATCATCACATGAGTAGCTATCACCAAAACTAGATGAAGATGGAAAATCATCTGAAAACAAATAAAAATAAGCTTCATCAACAATTTCAAAAAGCAACTCTTTTGGATTCACTACTATTTGGGCAAGTAGTTGGTTTGATTCTTAAGCTTGCTGCATGACATTCATTAAAGTGAAAAGTTGTTCAATCTGTGTCTGCAAAACCTGAATACTAGAATCTGTTCATTGCTACAACATGAGATTATTTACAGCCATTTGATTGTCATGGTCCACTAGTTAAGGTCTGGAAGGCGCAGAGCACACAACTTTGAATTTCATCAGATTCTTATGCGGATCTACACCTGCTAGACCATTAAACCTTGGTAACAAAGGTTTTAATCCGGATTTCAATTCAAAGAGTACATCAACAATAACATATTTAATAGATAAAGCATTAAAATTCACATCAGGGGCAGCAAGTTCTCTAAGAGTTCTTTTATTAGTAATGTCAAATTTAATCGAAAAAAAAAAAATCAACAAAGAATGAGAAAACACATAACTTATTCAACAATGCAGCAACAATTAGGAAAATACCAACAATGTCCCTATTAAGCAGAAATAACTGGAAATCCAAGGAAACGATTAAAATAAGAAAAAAAAATACCAAAACACGAAGTTTAATCTAATTAAGTCAATTAAGAATTTTGGGAATTTTTTCGGATTTTTCAGAAACTATGAAAATAGTAAATAGAGGTTTAGGGTGGTGTCCACTATTTAGTATATAAATAGAGGTTTTTGATCCCTAATTTTTTTCTAAATAATCGGCTGAGAATCACACTAATCTGAGACGAATTTCCTAAAAACTGATTTTTTTACACATAAACACGAAAAGGCCAAAACGCAAGAACGCTAAGGCATGATAGCTGAAACACAAAATCTATTATTAAATTAGTATTGGTTAAAATCTACAAGAAACCACGACAGCAACGCCAATTTGATCTGTTGTCGCACGCGGGTTAAAAACGAGTAAAAGACAAAATGCACTAAATGGAAGCGACACCTTGGATATCGTATCTCAAGGACTCTTGAATTATAATTAATCTACAAAAATAAATTAAGGGATGGGGGGTTGTTTAAGATTCAATTTTGATTACGAAAATAAGGAAAATAAGTTATTACAGTTACGATTAAAGAGTTAATCTACTCATTTAGTTCCTACTTATCATCAACTATTATAAACTTGCAATCTCTAAGCGGATTCTTTATTCATGTTCGATCACAAAATCAATCAACAAGCGTGAATAAAATTATAAGAATTATGGTTCCCATTTGCCGAATTAAGCATTCGGTTTATAAATAACCGAATTAACGAATCAAGTAAACAATAACACACAATCAAATTTAGGAAAAATAAATCAATCGAACAAAACAAAACTATCCAATGACAAATCAGATTACGCAAATGATAATCATACTATAGAATTACATTAAATAGAAATTATATTGCAAATTATAATAATCTCAAGGTTTCGGAACCTGAATATCGCAGATCAACTACGAAGGGGTTTAACTTTCCCTATGAAATCATACAAAGCAAAAAGAAATATTTGTGAACAGTGAAAAGAAGGTAATCTGAACAATACCTTCGCCACTAGGTATAGGGAAAACAAAGCATTCAAGTTCTAACCTAACTGGGTCGAAAAATATATTTAAAAAATGACCTAAAACTAAATATTTCTTTAAGTCTAAAACTTAACGAATTATTTGATACTAATTCACTCTGAATCAGCTTTCGGCTTAGACATAAAATTTGTAGCTCTTTCTTTTAACTTTTCAACTCCTATCAGAACACGTCAATCTGATTCTTGTAGTTTATGTTATGGTCTGCACATTGAACATGTATCAAATAACTATTAATATTGAAAATGAAATACGAATTTAAATTAAAGGCAAAAACAAAATAAATTCTAAAAACACAATAAAATAATAAAATAAATAAAACAAACTAGAGAAGTGCCTAAGTATTATTATTATTATTATTATTATTATTATTATTATTATTATTATTATTATTATTATTATTATTATTATTATTATTATTGTTATTGTTATTGTTATTATTGTTGTTATTGTTGTTGTTGTTATTGTTATTATTATTATTGTTGTTATTGTTATTAAAATTTACTCTAAGATACAGTGCAATTAACACAATAGATATCGTCCATCAGCCTTGAAAGTAAGATCAAACCTTGAAAAAACATAAATATAATTGATGTAAGAAACAAAATTAAATATCATTATAATTTTGAAGAAATATAATTCTAGAGACAAAATATTGCATATTATCAATATTAGTTTAATGTGGTATTGATATAGCAAGGCTTGTTGCACGTATCGAAGAAGTCGTGTGTTAGAAATGTTTGGTGAAAATTATGCAAGTTTGACCACAAATATCAGAATGACTATTATTATACCTTTTCGGATAGCAAATTGGATCTCCATTTTAAATCATTGCTTTGCCAAGACATAAGGGCCTTTTAAGCCATCTGAGTTTGTTTTAGGTCCGAATACAATATTTTAGTTTTTTATACAATTTATTTTATTTTATTTCTGTTTTGAATTAAAATCCCCATTAGAATTTATATTCTATGTATATAAACACATTTGGTTTCTCTTTATGTATCTAAAATACCAAAGAAACCATGTTTCAAACAAAAAGATTCGCAGACAAGAGGAATAGTTAGTGGGTATGGCGCATGAATTCAATTTTTTGTGCATCGGCGCCATGCATATTGACGCATGCTTATAGTGACAGTCAAAAGACTTAGGTAAAAATCTATTTATCGTAGGTGTAACTCAAAATACTTATAGATAAAAGTATGTTTTTGTGACATCTAATTTTTTGTACCTACGGTAAAGTGTCCTAGGTTTAAGTATTTTCAGTTATAACTATAGTAAATAGACTTTCACATATCCCTTTTGACAGTCACTATAAACACGCGCCAGCATGCATGACGCCTATGTAAAAAAAGTGAATTCATGTGCCATACCATCTAGCAAATCCTCTTGTCCGCGGATTTTTTTTTGGAAAAATGGTTATTTTGGTTTTTTTTTTTAAATATAATTAATTTGGATTTGTTTTTAAAACATAGTTATTTTAAAAAATAATAGTTCTTAGAGTTTAAACCAAACATAACAAGATAATGTAAAAGGATGAAAATAAAAATATTTTAGTTGCAAAATTCAAAATAAGATTCAAAATTTTTTTATAAAAATTCTAAAGGCTATCTTAAATTTCAAAATTATAATTATATTTTAGTAACATGAATGTCTAAATAACTAAAATTTTAAATAAAATGGCCCACGTACTACTTTTGTTTTTCCATTGTATCAATGACGTACCTCATTTAGTGTGAGCTGGAAGGTGGCAAAAAAGAAAATATAAAACAAAATGTTAAAGAAATTTTTTGAGATTAATGTATTCAAGGAATTTGATCCAAGCTGATCTCATTTAGTTAAATAATACTTGATTTTTTATTGATATTGTCGTTGTATAATCATCATCCATATATATTAATTTATAAGTAAGAATAAAAGTCAAATTCTTCTCAACGGTCAACGTCTATAATCATCTGACGGTGTAAAATTCCCTGTCAATATTTTTTTAATTAATTTCATAATTATATTATAAACATATTGTCAAAAATATAATCTTATAAACATCTAGTTTTTATGCTTTATAGTCAGAATGTTGGATTTTTCATGTTCTTAAAACACTGCCAAAACAATGTAGGACTTACATCTTAATTTTTATGATTGTATATAAATTACAGACTCACATGAATGGCGGGGTCAATATTAAGTTTTAAAATTATTACTATCTTTTAGCATGATGAATGTCTTAATAACTAAAATTTTAATTAAAGTGGTTCATGGGTTATTTCAAAATACAGACTCACATGGATGGTGGGGTTGGATTTACTCGTGTTCCATGCTTCAACAAAAATACACTAGCTTTTTTTTTATGGGAAGAGATTGTGTGGTGGAAAATGTGGCAGGACACATGAGATATGTCTATAAATTAGGACATGTAAGAATGAACAAATGCAGCACAAGATCAACTTAATAGCTAGTTCTTTCCATTAATCAAGCATTATGGCTTATGCTAAGGTCTCTCTTTTGCCTCTCTTTCTGCTTGCCACATTAGGTATGTCTTCTATCTTTACTTTTTTTCTACATTCTAATGGATTAATACGTTACGACCCAGGGGATCATGGCAGCTAATTGATATGTAAGAATGAAGTAATGAAACACAATATGCAAAAATGTGTATGTATTGTTGCGTATATATTAACTTTATCAACACTATTTGCAGTTTTAATGTTTTCGATAAGGAAGATAGAGGCAGATACTTGCAATGCGTATTGTGAGCTCGAAGGGCTAAAATGTGGTGGAGATTGTGAGTGCGTTCCCATTAGAATCCCATACCCTTGTATCCCTCCGCACGTTGCTAGTAAGATAGTGGATCAACATCCTCACATATGTGAGTCTCATGAGGACTGCACAAGAAAGGGAAGTGGAAGCTTTTGTGGAATCTATCCAGTTTCAGATATGAAATATGGCTGGTGTTTTGATTCTAAGTCTGATGCTGAAGCCTCATTCAAAAATATCCTTAGCTCTAAATTTTCAAACTTGTTGAAGATGCCCTCAGCAGTTTCCACATAATATGTGCAACAATAACCATTCATGCATGATCTCTGCTTCAATAAAATTTCTTCATATGCCTTTATTTCCAACTATGTTTGGATTTCTTAGACACTTAAATTTTAAAAATAATATATGCATGGGTGTGGTTATGTTGGTTGTTATTTATATTATATCTTTGCAAGAGTAATGCAATGTTTTGGCTCTATGTATGTTTTCATGAATCTTTTAATGAGAGTATATTGGAGTTTGATTTGCCTATCTTGTTTATCCTTGGACACTGGTTGGTCCATTTTGTGCCAAAGTTCACTCCAAACTAATTTTTCTTTTCTTATGAACAATCGGAATTAAGTTAATATTAAGGATATTGATAAAGACATTTAAAGCAATAAATATAGACACATTGAAGCAAAATTTCTGAAGACTTCAATTAAAAAATTAATTTTTATGGAATTCTCATTGTAAATTGTATAATTTAACGAATTTAAAATGAATTAAAAAATAAATTTTAATTTAAGAAACATTCAATTTCATATGCAATAAAGTACTCCAACATTTAAGATGGTTTGAAACCACAATTTAAAGATTTCTTTTTTTTCTTACATTTTTTCATTGGTCTTCTGCTATTTTTTTCTAATTAAGTTTTTTTTATTCTAAAATTCTATTCCTCAAGGGATAGATCTCGAACATGAAATCCTAGACAATTAGTTCAACAAGTTAAATCAGAAATACCACAATAAGAAATAATAGATGATGGAGCAGAAAACTAGTAAATAACACGATAGTTGTTTATTTGTTTGGTGAGATCGCATATATTTCTCGGGGGCTGAGTCAACAATCCAAGAAAGGAAATTCACCATTAGTAATTTACTAGCGTCCAAACGGTCCGCTTTTTTTAACTGGCACACGCATTAAAATATAAACAGATATTTTTTTAATTTATTTTTGTTTTTAGTATAAATTATTTTTAATATAAACTGTGATATATTTCTTTCATGTGTATTTATATTTTTTCTTAAAAGCGTACATGCAAAAAATTATAAAATATATTTTTTTCTTCTTAATTTTTGTTTTAAATTAAATAAATTGACAACTTAAATTAAATAATGAATGGTTATTATGGTGTATTTGATAGTTTTAAAATAACGGTTAAAGGGCATAATAGGTATAAAAAATAGGCTACACCAGGCCATTATTTTTTCTTTATATATTGTTATAGATAAATTGACAAATTAAATTGAGAAATGAGCGATTATTATTTAATGGGTGTATTTGATAGTTTTAAAATAATGGTTAAAGGGCATAATAGGTATAAAAAATAGGCTACACCAAACCATTGTTTTCCCTTTATATATTGTTATAAATTACAGTTAAACTTACAAGGAACATCATATCTTATATTATTTATGTCATACACTAAATTTGTCCTCTCCAATCTCTTAAATCATTTTTTCTTAATTAATTTGCATATTGCATAAATTAGATATTTTAAAACATAATTCTTAAAAGTCAAAATAAAGGTCAAAGTTTCAAATTTCTTTTTTCATAAAATCTCCTCGTTGCAATATATTTTGTAATTTGGTCATTTTAAATAAACATAGAAAATTTCACCTTTTATTCATTTTTACATGTCATTGTCCATTGCATTTTTTTTTGCATCATCAAAATGTGACAAAGTTAGATAAGTGGACCATAAAACCATATCACTATCATCATTCAAAAACCACAAGAGTAATGTGTCATTTTCATCCAAAACTTTCCTCTTCATACCTCATAAATTAACCTAACCATATACATGTTTTATCTAATATCATCATCACTACTACAAAATATATCTATGGTAACATAATATTACTATGGCTATTTTGTCAACCCTAGTAATATCCATTTTTTAACACACATGCTTTATCTTATATCAACATCAACATTTTCCCCTTATTCTAATGAAAATGAACGTTTTTTCCTTAACATTTATTGTCATATAAAAATTGAAGGTAAAATAACTAAGGTTGTTTTAATCAACCATGGTCATATTTTCTATATTTCACTACTGTTGTTGTTAGCAATCATTGGAATATTATATTCTACAAAATTAAAACATAACATGTTCTTTATTTCGTTCATAACACAAATGGGTTCCCTAGAGAATGAGACGAAATCGATAGCAAAATCTTGGCCTCTCTTTCTGCTTGCCACATTAGGTATGTCTTCTATCTTTACTTTTTTTCTACATTCTAATGGATTAATACGTTACGACCCAGGGGATCATGGCAGCTAATTGATATGTAAGAATGAAGTAATGAAACACAATATGCAAAAATGTGTATGTATTGTTGCGTATATATTAACTTTACCAACACTATTTGCAGTTTTAATGTTTTCGATAAGAAAGATAGAAGCAGATACTTGCAATGCGTATTGTGATCCCGAAGAGCTAAAATGTGGTGGAGATTGTGAGTGCATTCCCATTGGAATCCCATACCCTTGTACCCCTCCGCCAGTTGCTAGGAAGATAGTGGATCAACATCCTCACATATGTGAATCTCATGAGGACTGCACAAGAAAGGGAAGTGGGAGCTTTTGTGGAATCTATCCAGTTTTAGATATGAAATATGGCTGGTGTTTTGATTCTAAGTCTGATGCTGAAGCCTCATTCAAAAATCTCCTTAGCTCTAAATTTTCAAACTTGTTGAAGATGCCCTCAGCAGTTTCCACATAATATGTGCAACAATAACCATTCATGCATGATTTCTGCTTAAATAAAATTTCTTCATATGCCTTTATTTCCAACTATGTTTGGATTTCTTAGACACTTAAATTTTAAAAATAATATATGCATGGGTGTGGTTATGTTGGTTGTTATTTATATTATATTTTTGCAAGAGTAATGCAATGTTTTGGCTCTATGTATGTTTTCATGAATCTTTTAATGAGAGTATTGGAGTTTGATTTGCCTATCTTGTTTATCCTTGGACACTGGTTGGTCCATTTTGTTACAAAGTTCACTCCAAACTAATTTTTTTTTCTTCTTATGAACAATCGGAATTAAGTTAATATTAAGGATATTGATAAAGACATTTAAAGCAATAAATATAGACACATTGAAGCAAAATTCCTGAAGATTTCAGTTAGAAAGTTAATTTTTAACAAATTCTCATTGTAAATTGTATAATTTAACGAATTTAAAATGAATTAAAAAATAAATTTTAATTTAAGAAACATTCAATTTCATATGTAATAAAGTACTACAACATTTAGGGTGGTTTGAAACCACGATTTAAAGAATTTTTTTTCTTTTCTTTTTGTTTTTTTTTTTTTTTTTCATTTTTTCCATTGCTCTTCTGCTGTTTTTTTCTCATTAATTTTTTTTCATTATAAAATTTTATTTCTCAAGAGATAGGTGTCGAACATGAAGTTTTAAGCAACTAATTGGACAAATTAAATTAGAAATACCACAATAGCAAGTAATAGATGATGGAGCAGAAAGAAAAGTAATAAATAATACGATAGTTGTTTATCTATTTAGTGAAACCACACATACTTCTGGGGGGCTGTGTCAACAACCCAAAATTTTTTTCCACCATTAGTAGTTTACTACAATTAGACTTACATGCAACAACAGACACTATGTTGTTCATGTTATACCCTAATTTTGTCCTCTCCAGCCTCTTAGTTTATTTTTTTCTTAATTCATTTGCATATTGCATAAATTAGATATTTAAAAACATAATTCCTAAAAGTCAAAATGAAGATCAAAGTTTCAAGTAATTTTTTTCATTCCATCTCCTCGTTGCATTGTATTTTATAATTTGATCATTTCAAAGTCATTTTAAATACACATAGAAAATTCCATCTTTTATTCATTTTTACATGTCATTGTCCATTGCATTTTCTTTGCATCATCAAAAAGTGACAAAGTTAGATAAGTGAGACATAAAACCATATCACTGTCATCATTCAAAAATCTCATGTGTAATGTGTCACATACATATGGTAACACAATATTACTACAAAATATACCTATGGTAACACAATATTAATACGACTATCTTGTCAACCCTAGTAATATCTATTTTTAACGCACATGCTTTATCTAATATCAACATGAACATTTTTCCATTTTTCCAATAAAAATGAGCATATTTCCCTTAACATTTATTGTCATATAAAAATTAAAGGTAAAATAACTAAGATTGTTTCAATAAACCGTGGTCATATTTACCATATTTCACTAATGTTGTTGTTAGCAATCGTTGTGAAATTCTTTTCTACAAAATAAAAAATAACATATTATTTATTTTGTTCATAACACAAATGGGTGCCCTAGAGAATAAGACGAAAGTGATCGTGAAATCTTGGTCTCTTCTACCTCTACGATGTAAGGTATGTTACCTTTATGTGTTTGATGTTCATTGTTAATTTCTTGATTTCTCTTTCGCGTTGTGGTGTGGTTTTCCTTTATATGATGTGGATTTTCATTTTGTTACAATTATGTTACTTTTGATTTTGGGTTTATTCAAATTTGGTGATGTTTTCATTGTTTTTTTTTTTTGTTTTCGTTTTGGTGCTATAAATCTATTGCAAATGAAAAAATATGTGGTTATGATTATGCTTTAGGTTTTGGTGTTATATTAATATGATAGATGTTGTGTGTGTAGCATTAATGTGACATTCACATTAGTCTTTTGATATAAATTTCAGAATCTGTTAAGGATTGTAGTTGGAAGAAAGCTAATAAATTAGGTCTGGTGTATGAGAAAGAAATTCTTGAATTCCAATCATTCGCCGAACAAAATTTTCCCGACAGTAATGGTGTCTTTTATTCCCCTTATATTAATTGTAGGAATATTAAAAAAATGTACAAAGAAAGAAATATCATATCACCTATGTTGTGATGAAAAGTGTCAAAATTATAAAACATGGATGTGGCATAGAGAAATAGACTAGAAGATATATTCCGTGATATTGGAGAATTGTCTTATATAAAAGCTCATATTTATGATACTTTGTGTAGTGATAAA